TTCTGAATAGCTTTACCAGGTAGTTGTCCTTGCTTTGTAGCAGCAGCAACAGAAGAAGCATGATTCTCCAGAGAGTAAACCCTTGTGTTGAGGTTCTCGATCTTAGAGTTTATTTCAGCTAGCTTATTGCTTGTGTCCACTACCCCATCAGCTTGCCCTTGAAGTAGTTGTTTTAGCATTGCCTTGAGCTCATTCTCTTGTGAAGGTGCAGGCTGGGGCGGTTGGTTGGGGAAGCCTGGTGGGATATTCATTTGTTGTCCAGGGAAAGTGCCTTGTGGTCCTTGGTAATTGTTCTTTTGACCATATCCATGTTGTGGCACTTTACTCAATCAAGAGGGGAAGGAATTCACACTGAATGGACATAGATGCAAGCCATATCTAGGAATGACCCCCACAGAGGAGATCATCACTCCTCTAGAAGATCCAACCCCGGCCTAAAAGGGGTAAGGTCAAGCTATAAGACCTAAAACAAGCTCACTTGGGAGGAATTCCCATGTCTATCTTGTACATATTTCTTTTATCCTTTATCTCTGCGTTTGTATCAGCTAAATCTTGCAGGAACAGGTTTTTAAGGAAGAAAATCTGCCAACTCGAGGAACAACTCGATCGAGTGAGCCGCAAGCTCGATCGAGTGAGGAACCCAGTTGCATGGAGTGCTCCTGATGGCCGTCTACCATCTCCAGACCACGACCTTTGCCTCCCAGTTCTTTGGGGGACACTGAGGTATCCAAACACCAACCCTTGTATATACCATTTCATATTTTCTTGCATTTGTTCTTGTTTTTTCTTGGTTTTGCCCTCTTGAATCTTTCACTAAATTTTTCTCACACAAGGGACTGTGTGATTTAAGTTTGGGGGAGGGTTCAAGAGATGATTTAACCTTGTTTTCTTTGTTCTTAGTTTTTCATCATCTTTTGCATAGAAAAACCAAAAAAATCATAAAATTTTCAAAAAAATCCAAAAATATTTTCATCTTTTTGCATTCATATTTGTTAGACTTGTTTAGGATTGCATTTTTCACTTGCATTGTTGATTTGACTTTGAAAACTTGTCCATCTTTTGCGATTTCTTGAGTGCCCTGTTTTTAGATTCTTTTGTGCATTAGGGTGAGATTGATTGAGCAGCAAGAACCATGTTTATCTTGATCATATCACTGCATGCACATCTCATTCAACCATTGCTGTGATTTGATGCATTTCCCTATCTATTTGAACCATAACTTGATCTTTAATTACCAATGCTTGCATTTGATTTCAACTCATGGCTACCACATACATATCTGGACATTCTTTACCTATTTTCATATCCCTTTTGCTTGTCCAGATAGCTGATCTCTATCCTTGAGACAGTTGCCACACCTTGAACCTAAGCCTTTTCATTTCAAACCCCATATTATCTCTTGTGCGAATGTGAGAACCTTTCTTGGCTTTGCTTAGCATAAGGTGTTGTGTTTAAACCGGCAGGGGCAGTAGTTCTAGTTGTCTAGTTCTCTTGGGATTGTTTTCAGGCTAAGTTTGGGGGTGCCAACTCGAGCTCGATCGAGTTGGGTGTAAAAACCAGAAAAGTGGTAAAAGTTGGGAAAAACCCAAAGGAAAAAGAGTTTAGTTAAGTCCAGGGAGTTGGCAGTGTTAAAAAGGGTCTAGTAAAGGTTTGGGAAGTTAAAAAGGAAGAAAAAAAAGGGTTCTAAGTAGAATGAAAAGAAGGCAAAGCCTCAAGTGTTAAAAAAGTGAAGAAAAGTTCCCTAAGTTTTAGAAAATCCCAAACCGCTAGATGTTACCTCAAGAAGCCTCTCCCTAGGAAGTTCTTAAAAGAAAAGTGAGCAAAGCTCCTCAGTTTCAAAGGCGAAATGCCAAAAAGGGTAGTTAGGATTTTGTTCTAAAAAGCTCTAAGTGTTGAACTCGATCGAGTTAGGATTAGGCGGCTCGAGCTGCTGTTCTTGCATCATCTTGGTTCTAACACTTAGCCTTCTGCCAAAGCAAAGCCACTTTCTTGAGAGATCCCTGTTACTAAACCACCATACAAAAGAGACCCTCTTTGTCTCTTAACCCATAAACCCTTGAAACCAAATGAGTTGATTGATCTTGCATGTTTTTGGTTCACTGTTTTTGCTTAATGAATGTTAAAGGGATTTGCTGATTTGAATGCATTGTTTGAGTGACTGTGAAGTGGGATTGATGTTGATAAGCATGGTTAAATCTTAATGAATATCTCTCACCTTGTTGCATTTTAGAATCTCTAAGTTGGACATTTAGCAAATCGCTTTTGAGGACATGTTTTTAAGTGTTGAATCAGCTATTTTCAAACCTCATCTCTTTCTTGTTCTATTTGTTTGCTTGAGGGCAAGCAAAGTTCAAGTTTGGGGGTGTTGATGTACTTGCATTTTACATAGTTTTAGCACATCTTTTATGCATCTTTTGCATAGTTTTAGCTTCCATTTGCATCATATCTTGTTCCTTTTCTCTTCTTATGCATTCATGTTAGTTTTAGGTTGCATTTGCATACATATGCATGTTTGGCCTTTGAAATAGGTCTTTTGGAGCATTCTGGAGCATATGGACATAAGGAGCATGGAGGGACTTGGCGCATGGAAGCAGCTCAACTGGACACGCAAAGGAAGAAGGGAGAAGCCATCTTGAAGACCAGCTCGACCGTCCACTCGACCAACCGGTCGAGTTCCTCAACTCGACCGGCCAAGCTTCAACTCGATCGAGCTGGAGTCAAAGTCAAACCCGAAAAATGTTGCTTCCCCCTTGACTTCCCTTTGACCCTAAACCTAAAACCTCTTGTATTTAAAGGCTCTAAGCCACGAAAAAATGACCAAGCTTTAGATTATTTTGTTTTAGCTTTCTTTAATTTATTGTCTTTACTTTTTAGCAACCCTAATCCCATCTTTGTGTTCTTGAAGCTCTTGCTTCTTGAATCCTTAGATCCTGGATTATTTGCTTTGTATTTGCACTTGCTTATTTCAATAAAAGTTGTTTAATTTCATCTCCTCTTTCTTATGATGTCTATTTCATTGCATTTGCTTGTGTTTACATTCATGTGTAGTGAGTAGTTACCCATTAGGGTTTGAGATGGGATAGATTAGAGGTTTCATATGCTTAATCCTTCTAGCTTATGGTCTTAATCTAGATTCTCTCTCTTTTGGATAGATCTTAAGGCTACATGACCACTACCCCTGGCTTGTAAGTCCTTAGGCGACTCCCCACACGGAAGTGATGGCATTCGCTGGAAAAGATCCACTAAGAGCTCCAATATCTCTTGCTCTAGACAATAGAGGTCTAAGGGGTTGGATGGATTAGTTTGGGCAATGATCCTATAGCCTCCAAGGTTTGATTCTCACTGGCTAACCCCCTGTTTCTGAGATCATTCCTTGGTTGATAGCCTCCACCTTGGGAAAGGGTTGGCTAGGCATTGAGAAGCCCAATATCAAGAGAAGCCTTGATACAAGGAGTTTTAAGAGCTAGATTGATTAAGTGTAGATTCCTTTGATTGCAAAACCCTGTCTTGAACCCTAATTCTCTCTTTATCTTGTTAAAGTCGTCACCTTTACTGTCTTTTCCGCTAACTCGACCCACAACTCGATCGAGCTCGGTGCTCTTCCCAACTCGACTCGAGTCCTTGGTCGAGCTACTTATTTACCTGCTTTGTTTACTTTTATTGCACTGCATTTTCATTTCTTAGGTTGTTAGTGTTACTTAAAACCTATAACTGCTTGCTTGACTTTCTGGTTGTTTCATATTCTCATAGAGTGACAAGATTTCCCATTTTGGATTGATAACCTCTTATACTTCAATGACTATGATGGTTAAGAGGAATTGTTGATTGATTGTGTTTGCACCATTCCATTTCATCATTATTCACCCCTGTTTGCATTCCACCTCATATCTTATCATCCTTCACTTCATTCATTTCATATCACACACACACGCAAAACTTATATCATCACTCTTATTCTTCATTTTCTCTCCATTTTCATCCCAAAATCTAGAAGAAATCTCAAATCTTGGATCTTGGTATTTCCGACTGTCTAGCTTACGTTGACGACCGGAGATCGTTGCTGGAAGCCCAAATTTAAGTTATCAGGCTTCGAAGAGCCTTTCTCCGACGGCGAGGTAACCTTTCTTTCAAAATTGAACGACTTTCAGTTTTGGTCCGCAAAGGTAGACGGAAGAGAAGGTCTACTTTTACATGGTAGACCTCAGTTGAGGTCTACCGGTCAACCAAAAGTAGACCGGGTCAATTCCTTTGCAAACAAAAAAAACAAGTGGTAGACCTCAAATTAGGTCTACTCCACGTGGAGGGTTAGTTTAGCAATTGTTCGAGGAAAATGTTTTTTTGGAGGTCTACCGTGTCGGTCTACTACACGTGGCGGGTTAGTTTTGCAATTGATCGAGTAAAATGTTTGTCGTAGGTCTACCAGGTCGGTCTACCTAAAAAAAAAACGTTGGTCCGGCCGTTGACAAAAGTTTGACTTTCCTCAAAAAGGAGAGAGTTTGCGTCATTGAGGTCTACCGTGTAGGTCTACTGCTTGGTAGACCGAAAGTGAGGTCTACTGGTCAACGCAAAAAAACTGAGGTCTACCACGGAAGTCTACCCGAGGAAAGTCAAACTTAAGTCAACGCCATCACAAAATGTTTTTTAGGTAGACCGATACGGTAGACTAATTTGGAGGTCTACTTTTTTACGGTAGACCGATTTGGAGGTCTACGTCTTCTGGTAGACGGAGACGGTAGACCTTGGCAAAAAGTCAACGTTTGGTCAATTGCAAAACTAACCCGCCACGTGTAGTAGACCGACACGGTAGACCTCCAAAAAAACATTTTCCTCGAACAATTGCTAAACTAACCCTCCACGTGGCGTAGACCTACATTTCGGTCTACCGTTAACGTCTACTAGGAAGTCTACGTTGTAGGTCTATTATTATGTGTTTTTTGAAATGTCGTTTTCCTTTCAATATATCAAATATTTTGGAATTTATCTCGAACAGTTAGTTGCTTTTGTTTGTTTACTTGCTTCTGTGTGAGTTTGAAATGTTCTTTCTGCGTAATTAAGGCTATATTCGGATTTCTTTTCAATTAGGTATCTAGATTAATTTTACCTGGTAGACCAAGTTGTGGGTCTACCGTAGCGGTCTACCCATTCTGTCTTCTAATCCGTTTTGTGGTCTTGTTCGTTTTTGTTGCAGGTAATGGTTTGTCTAGCTTCCGTTTATGGAAAATGGGTGGTGATGGAAGACAAGACATGGAATTTTGAGGTCGATAAAGGAAAAGGAGGGAGGATGTTCTACTTGCGTGATGGTTGTACACATGAGGAGCTCCTTACAATGGTACAAGCTGACTATATGCTGGATATGGAACCAGAGCGGGTGGAGTTATCCTATCCATTACCAGATGTTATGCTCCATCAAATGCCCTCTGACTTTCCTCCTATGTACATCACCAACGATGGGCAGGTCCATAGCTTGATAGAGACATGCAAAACGCATGTGCTGCGCCTTTGCATCTCTGTTGGAAACAAGGATAAAGGTCAGCAGAGAGATGAGGATAACTATGTCGATGAAGATAACTATGTGGATGAGGATGAGTATGAAGAGGAGGAGGAACTTTCAGATGTAAACTGGGATGCAAATTCAGATGAAGAAGTTGAGGAAGAGTATGATGATGCAGGGGACGATGACTATGTGGATGAAGATTTTGCAGGAAAGAAAGCTGAAGACACGGACGCAGACTATAGTGAGTATGGGAAAGTTCAAGATGAAGATGATTGGGAGAAAAAACGCTTTGAAGAAAGGCTTCGCAGAGGTGATTTGAATGGTCATGGGGTAGGATTCGATGGGTCAGGCGATATATCAGTTGGCCAGAGCTATGTAAGCAAGAATGATCTCATATCTGCCTTGCGAGTGAAGGCAGTGAAGTCTAGATTCGCCTTCAAGGTTTCTAAGTCTACTACCAAGCTCTATGTGGCAAAATGTTTTGTAGATGGATGCAAATGGATGTGCAGAGCTGCTATAAAGAATGAGGCAAAGAGGTTCTTTGTCACAAAGTATGTCAAGGTTCATACATGCTCTGTGGTGGACCGTGCTCGATTCCGCAAGGGATGTACTCCAAGGTATCTTGGGCAGATATTTGTAGAGCAGTTTGGAATCATTGATGGAATTGTCCCAAGGCATATTGCTTCCGCGATAAGGGTGTTGCTTGGACTTAAGCTTAACTACACCACTTCTTACAGAGCTTTAAAAGCTGCCCAACTTTTTGTTAGGGGAACACCAGAAGCTGGATATGCGGCTTTGCCCTCGTACTTGCGAAGAGTGAAGCAGTCAAACCCGGGCTCCGTGACTGACCTTGTATGTGAGGCTAATGGTCAATTCAAATACTGCTTCTTGTCCTTGTATGCTTCAATGGTTGGCTTTCAGTACTTGAGACGTGTTATTGTGGTAGATGGGACTCATCTAACTGGAAAGTATGGAGGAACATTGCTGGTTGCAGCCGGACAAGATGCTAATTTTCAGGTTTTCCCGTTGGCATTTGGGATTGTAGATGCCGAGAATAACGAATCATGGGGGTGGTTTATGAACAAGTTGCAGCAATGCTTTTCATCTCATCACATGGTCATTATTTCGGACAGGCACCCCTCCATACCTAATGCATGTCTCAATGTTCTACCTTGGGTAACCAGAGGTATTTGTTACTACCATCTTCAGGGAAACATTGTCTCAAAGTCAGAGCTGGGTGCAAAGGATTTGATGTACTTGGTGAAAGGAGCTGCATACGCCCATACGCTGAGAGAGTATAACCGTTGCATGGCATCAATCCGGGCTGCTAAACCTGCACTTGCGAACTACTTAGAGTTAGCAGATCCTAAGTTATGGTCCAGAGTACATTTTCCAGGGGATAGATACAATATAAAGACAAGTAACATTGCTGAATCTATCAATTCCGCATTGAAGAGAGCAAAGGGCTTTCCAATACCGTATCTGCTGCAATTCATCCGGGAGAAGTTGGGGGTTTGGTTTGCCAAAAGGCGAGAGGACGCCTTGAGTCTTCAGACCCCATACAGCAAGGGAGTTGAATATTTGCTAGCTATTCGTACACACCACGCAGAAACATACACTGTGGAACACATAGATGGATGGACTTTCAATGTTATAGGCGGAGGAGGGCATTATATTGTGAATTTGGAAAACCGTTCCTGCGAATGTGGTGTATTCCAGATTGAGAAAATACCTTGTTCACATGCGATTGCAGCGTCTACTGAGGCAAACATGCACATTTCGCAAAACGTGTGTATGACATACACGAAAGAATCTTTGTATGCAACATATGCACGTCCCATATACCCGGAGCCTACAGAAGATGCAGAGGAAGAAGAAGACATTTGCTTACCTCCAGAAGTGGCGCCAACTCGTGGCCGGAAAAAGAAATCAAGGTATCTAACATGGCTAGAATTGTCAAGGAAGAGACAGCCCAAACCAAGGAAGGTCCACAAAGTTTATAGCTGTTCGTTGTGCAGGGTTCCAGGACACACCCGACCTCATTGTGTAAGCCATTGAAAACTCCCTCTTTCCGTTAATGTTTCAGTTTTATCCTTACTTGAGTTCCATAACTCCTGCAGATGAACAACGCAGCGGCAGACTGACTTAGTCGACTAATTCGGTAGACCGCATGTTTAGTCTACCTTGTCTACGTAGACGTAATATTCGGTCTACTACGTAGGTCTACCCGACCGATCTACTACAACAATCTACCGAAGAGGTCTACTTTAGCTGTTTTGAGTTACTAATGTTTTATGTTATTCATTTTGTTTGATATTGACGGGGTACGTCCATGTTAGTAAACATGCAAGAATTTGAATTTATCCGAAAACAGTTATATTATATATTTAGCTGGGTTAGGTAGTTATATTTTACACCAAAAAATAATGAGAGCGTCGAGTTTAGGTACACAGCAAAATATGGTACCATGAGCGCTTTACAAAACACACCCAGCCTAAAACTGATATATACCGATCTACCTAGATAGTTATATGTCATTGTCCAGATCCTCCCAGTTACGCTCTGGAGGGCCGCGACAGTTGATCTCGTGATATAGGTCCGCTGCAAGCTTTGCTCTTATAGCTTTCGTATGGGCGCACCACAACCCGCTCCGAATTCAGGCATGAAACGATATGCCCATACTTGTAGAGCCTCAACAAACCCATCCAGGACATACCCGGACTTCCATAGCTCTGCTTCTTTGACGGCTTCGATCAGGTTCTTGAAAGCTACACGCCCCCACGGATAATTCTCAAACTCCTCTTCATCCATCACTAATCTGGCCAGGTTGACAGGAGTGTGCGAGGTGTTTTTCCGAGCAGCAATGAAGCCAGTGTAGATGGCCAAGTAACCAAGCCTAAGTTTGTCCTCACTCGGCCAGTCTGTTGCCCATTCGCATGCACGAATGATCTCCACTTGACTCGGACCAAGCTCAACATCTACTCCGAGCTTCTCCCAGAATGCTCTCATCTCTAGAGTAACCTTGCACTTGGGGTCATCAATATCTTCCACATAGTCGCAGTTGAGGCCGGTGAGATGCTCAAACTCATGGAGGGAAAATCTAATTGGGCTATCCGCAACCGCAACCCAGATCTCATACTTCTTCTTGCACTCTAACTGATATGAGAGCATCGTGTGGACCAACTTCGAAGACCACGCGAAGTCGAGGTCGTGAAACTTGCAGAAGACACCAACTCGCGAGTCGCATAGTGTTTCCCACTCGGCATCACTCAGTAGTTTTTTCACGGCAGCAAATAGCTTTTTGTCGTTGCTGCCGTAGGAGATGCTCTTTTGGGCTTCCGGTTCAGCCCCTCTTGTGTATAACCTCCTTGGAAAGGTAGGCTTCTTCATTCTGCAACGAACATAAAAGGAAAATCAAAGAAGGCAAAAACGAAGGTCTACTACGAAGGTCTACTAAGAAGGTCTACTACGAAGGTCTACTCTAAACCCTAAACGAAATCTACCGAATCACGAAGAAGAAAGACATATATGAGTTGTAGAGGTTATGTTATAGATTGTTGTACCTCTCGACGACGACGACAGTTCTAAGCGCTTATCGCAAAGCACCAGGAACGATATCTTGGACGAGATCTAACTACAAAAACGACACATGAATTCGGCGGTGAGGTTATTTGTGGTTATACAAAGCGAAAATGGTAAGAAAGAGGAGTGAGTGACGGAGTTACTACCGGGAAATGGGATCGATGTGGAGCGCTCCGATTCTGTTAGACAACGGCGACGAGTTCACCAAATATGAACAATAAAACGGTTAGATGACTGAGCGGAGATAGATTAACGACACTAGGGGTATAGGGCGAGGTATAGGGCGGAGATATTACCGGCGTAATCAAACAGAGGCGGAGCAAACGGCGTCGGACACGGAAATCGGCCTGAAATCGCGTCTGGAGAGCGCCGACTCGCAATGTTCTAACAAAACCTAGAAATTAACTGCTCAGGGTTAAAACCGCTTTATATACGTCGGTTCGATTAACTGGTTTCGTTATATCGGTTTGAACCAAGAAATTAGCCGGTTATTTCAATTAATATCGGTTCAGCCGTTCAATTTACGGTTCTACGCAAACAATTGAGTCGGTTATTTCCGGCTTAGGTATACCGTTACGGTCTACCACGAAATTACCGAAACGTCGTTTCAATCTCAGCCGTCGCTTTGAAACTTCGGGATTCCCGCTAGGTTAAAACGGTTGGTAGACCTCCACTTCGGTCTACGCGATCCGTCTACTTGTTAGGTCTACTTTACCCTAAACCCTAAATCGAATAATTTAGATACAATTTTGCAACGATTTGCTTGCCATATTGTCAATTTACAGTGTATATCACAAATAAACAAACATTGAATCGTAAAACCAACCAAAAACAATTCTTCATCTAAAATTTTTCAAAACCCTACAACTCTCCCCATTAACTCCTAAACAATCTACTCAAACTCTTATCCTTATGAACTATTTACATATGATATTTATAGATTCATGATTTCTTATGAAATTTATTTTTAATAGATGTTAAATGTCTATTATTTCGTTATTTGTGAAACAAATATTTCAAATTATTTTTTACAATTTTCTTAATTTAAATTTAAGATTTAATTATTTAGTAGACTTACTTGGTAGACCTCTCATGGTTTTTATAGGCTTTTAACCTAATTTTTGTTTTTTATAGTTCAATTGGTTCAAATCTATGAAATTATATTTTATATAGATGCAAGTTGTCTGTATTGTATTTATGTATAAATAATTTTCATCAAAATATTTTTTTTCAATTTTTATAATTAAAATTAAATTTAATGACATAGTAGACTTACTCGGTAGACCTCACACATTTTATAGATATTAACCTATATGTCTTTGCTTATCTATAAATCATTCATTTGTATGCATTCATATTTTTTGTATGATAATGTCTATATTAGAATTATTCATACTTGTGTTTGTATAAAAATATTTTTTATTTAATTGTTAATTAAAATTTAAGATGTTATTACGAGGTAGACCTCTAACATTGTCTACCAGGTAGATCTACGTAGATCTACATGCTCCGGAGGTTATAATCGTAATCGAGGCATGCGTTTTTTTGTTTGGTCATGAGGGCTTGTGGGGTAATTTTACTACCCAAAGAGGTTAGTTTTGCATTTGATTCAAATTGTGGTCTAGTTGACTAGAAAAAATCAAATTGTGGTCTAGAATTGGTAATTTCCTCAAGTTACCTAAAAGTTTAGTTTCAAAAGATCTGACCTTGTCTTCAGTAGCCCATGAGACTTGATCAAACATTACATTATATAGTGGAGGAAGACTCATCACTCTCTGAGACACCAACAAACCAACATCAATTTCAAGAAGAGAGCAATCTCAAATCAATTTCAAGAAGAGAGAAAATGTAATTTCTTACTCCCTAAGATGTGAATTGATTCCTTACTTGATGCCAAACGATAAGAACATTGGATTTAACGGCGCAGCCAGGTGGACCGTATTCGAAAAGTCCAATGACGCCACGGTAGATCTTAAAAGACGGGACGTAAAACAACCGCCACTCGAGGTTATTGACGACGGCTTGCCGGAAAGCCTCACGGTTAAGCGAGCCGTTTCCGAAGCTGCTGATGGTAGATTGGAGCTGCGGCGGATTTCTCGAGCTTCAATTAGTTGAAAATAGCGGGGTGAATTGCGTCGTAGATTTCCGGCTTCGCTGTGCGGGAGGCCTTGAGAGCGTGTACCGCGTTACCCTGGGCTTCCTATATGGAATACCTTTTTAAATAAGGAAGAAGCTAAAGCCAATCCTATGTGTTCCCACAAAAGAGAAATCTAAAGGGAAGAAGGATCGATAAAAAAAAAATGATACCTTAGAAAAGTAGGAAAATATCGATCCTTCAAAGATAAGAGAGAAGGAGAGAGGTTTGGTGCTGAATGAGCTAAAAAGACTGTCTTGGCAAAACTTGGATGGGTAAGAATCAATGCCCTGTGGTCAATACCCCTTGATAAATACTACACGTAGCAAAGAGTTAACAATAGAGAGTTTGGAATACTCGAGGAGATTTGTTGGGTCGGGTATGGTTTGATAAATGAAGGTCAGTACGGGAAAGCTAGATTCAAAGTTAGCTATGTCCCAAATGAGAGCAGAACACTTGAGAGACATGCAAGTTCCAAAAGATAAGTGAGTTTTCATGTTTTCAAAACCTCTTCACTAGTTTATATTCGATTTGCTTGGGGACAAGCAAAGATCTCAGTCTGGGGGAATTGATATACCTCTATTTTACATGGTTTTTACATAGTTTTTATATACTTTATATAGGGTTTTGCAATGGATTCTTGGATTAAGAGGTTTTTTTATGGAGTTATAATGCAAAGAGTCATTCTATGTCAAAAGATGCATTATGGAGCAAAACATAGGAAAAGGACTTGAAACAAGTTCCATACCGCAGCAGCAAATTTGGGAAGAGCTTAAAAAAATTATACTCAATGAATTTCATCAAGACTAATTCGCCGTGATACTTGAGTGAGTTAGCTTTCCAACGCAATTGGATTTGCACAATTTGGATGAGTAGAAATGAAGTTATGATCATTTCAGTGAAGACTGGTCTAGACAAAAGTCTGTTTCACACAATGTGAAGCCCAAACCTTTAGCCGACTTTCAAGAACTAAGTTTCACCGCTCTTCAAGACTTAGAGAATTATAAATACATCATTTTAGCCTTGTAACTCAAGTAGGAGAAAGACCACGATTTTACTTACATCTTTAATAAAGTTCTTTTTCTTTTCTTTGTTTTGATTGTTCTCTTAGACGAGAGGATGTTGGATCTTTGTTCTTATGAATATGAACTCGATTTCCTTCTCTATGTCTGAGTAGTTTCATTGTTAAGTGATAGGTTATCAAATGATAGTATTCATGTTAACTTCATAATCGATTTACAATGAATTAAGGTTTTACATAAACTCTTCAGCTTTATTTGTGTGCAATGGTTGGTGTAAATGATATACCTCTATTTTAAATGATTTTTATACTATTTTACTATGGTTTTCTAATGGTTTTCTAGTGGATTATTGTCTTAAAAGGTATTTTTTATGGATTTATACTGCAAAGAGTCATTTTAGGTCAAAAGGTGCATTATGGAGCAAAACAAAGGATTTGGACTTCAAACCAGTCCAACGCCACATCATCACTTTGGGAGGAGCTAAAAAATCTACTCAATGGATTTCATCAAGACCACTTCCCTGCGTGCTCTGAGTGAGTTAACTTTCCAACGCAAGTGGATTGGCATCATTTGGATGAGTAGAAAAGGAATTATGATCAAAATAGCAAAGACTGGTCCAGCAGCTCTATCGAGAAGCCGCGGCCGAACCAAGCGGAACGGCCGGCCGAGCAATATCCGTCCCGCGGTCGGCCAACATCCGAACGCTCATCCGTCTCGCCTGAACAAAGTCCGAGCTCACGTACCGATCCGGGAAGCATCGTCCCGCGGTCGGCCAAACCAAAACCACGCAGCCGAAGCCGCGCACGACCGTACCGCACAAACCGGGAAGCATCGCCTCGCGGCCGTGCGGCACAACTCATGTACCGCGGCCGATCGCGCCGTCCGACCAGGAAGGCCTCGTCCCACGTCCGGCCGAATCCTTCGACCAAAATCATCCGTCCGGCCGAGCCCGACGAACAACGCGAAAACTCTCGGCCACGATCGACCGACCGTGCCGATAGCCGACCACGACAGCCGGCCGAAAGTCCCGACCGACCGTCCGAACGGCCCGGTCGACCGAAGCCGTTTTTGAAGCCTGTTTCACACGTTTCAAGCCCAATATCAATGCCGACTTACTTGATCTAGGTTTAGCCGCTCTTCCATACTTAGAGCATTATAAATACACCTTTTTAGCCTTGTAACTCAAGAAGGAGAGAGACCACAATTTACTTTACATCTTTAATAAAGTTTTGCTTGCTTTTACTTTGTTCTTGTTTGTTCTCTTTCAAGAGAGGATTCGAATCTCTGTTCTTATGAATATGAATTCGTTTTCCTTCTCTATGTCTGAGTAGTTTACTTGTTAAGTCATAGGAAGTCAAAGGATGGCATTCATGTATGCTTGATGATCGATCACATGAATTAGGGTTTTACTTATAATCTTCATCTTTGCTTATACTTAATGCTTGTTGTTAATCTGGCCAATTAGCATATGATCTAAGGTTTACTGATATCTTGCGTATTTGACGCATTCTAACCTTGTTTTCACGAGTTTTATCGAGTCTTTCTAGTCTTTATCGAGTCTTTTCAGGTCTAAAGACGTTCCAGGGAGAGCTTTGGTCACATGGACCAACAAGGCGAAAGCAGGCAAAACGGAGCCCAAAAGCTCGATCGATCCCACAAGATCGATCGACTCGTCACGACGACACAGCTCGATCGACTTACACGACAGCAGCTCGATCGAGCTATACCGAGCAGCAGCTCGATCGACTCGTACACCAGCAGCTCGATCGAGCTCGTACCACAGAGCTCGATCGAGCTCGTACGCAGAGTCGATCTCGATGCCGTCGATCTCAGCCGTTCGATCCATGCAGATGATATCACAGCCGTTCGATCTACTTGGTGCAAACCGACTCGATCGAACCACAGCGAACCGGATTGAACCGAAGTCGACCCCGGAGCTATTTAGACCTATCTTTAGCCATTGTTTAGGCTACGCCGTTTTTCAGAGTTTTACACTGTTGTTCATTGTTTCCGAGGGAGAAGAGATCAAACCTCTGTTTTCACAGTTTGGAGAAGATTTCTGAACCCTTTTGTTTGCTATTTTCTTATTTGATTCAATGACATTCATTCAGTATTGTTTGCTGTTTCGCCATGTCTGAGTAGTCACCCTGCTAGATCTAGGTTTTTCAAAGGGATTCATGTGTTAAATTGACTGAATACAGATAGGGCTTTAATACTGTCTTCGCCATTGTTGCACTTACTGCTTAGATCGATCTGATCATCGATCTCTGATCTCAGATTACCTGTTCATCAAAAGTGCAATAGGTTGTTAGAACGAACTGTGGTGAGCGAATCGTCCTTAGCCTGCGAAAGTTGATGCTAGGCGATTCGTGAACTTATCGAACCTGAGTTTATTGCTTGTCATCAATTGCTAGATTCAAACGACAGTTTAGACATCTAGGTTGTTAGATAAAGTTGTCATTATCGCGAAAGTGAATTGACATATTTTTGTTTGAGTTCGAGACCTGTTCTTATCTGTGCCCTGAATAGTTGTTTGGTCGTTAACCTGAATCTCTGCGAATTGCCTTGGTCTAGTCCCTGTTTATTGAATTACATCATCGTTTACATTCGTTACCTGTTACTAAAACCAATCATCTTTGTCTTAGCTCTGTTTTAAATCTCCTAGTTTCACAGTGTAACGCTGGTCCTCTGGATTTCGAATCCTTTATATTACAATCTTCATCACTGATAATTTGCAGTAGAGAAAATGACCTATTTCTAGTTTATCAAATTTGGCGCCGTTGCGACGGGGACCAATTCGTTACCTTTGATTCTTGATTTAAAATTTAGTCTAAGATTTACTAACTTGTTCTCTCTTTTTTTCTGTGTGTGTTTCAGGTGCATGATCACTAGATCTCGACGGAGCAACCGCAACGAAGAGCTTTTGATCCTGTCCAACGCAGAACTTGCAAGAGTAGAACGAGCAAACAGACAACGAAGGCCGAATCCAGCCGACATGGGCGATAACGGCAACCCGAACATGGCTGCTCAGTTGCAGCAGCTTCAGCAGCAGATCGAGCAGATGCGGAAGGCTCAACAAGATCGAGAACCGCAACCTCGTCCTGCTATTGGAGACAAGGACAATCCGCACACCTTCTATCAAAACCGGTCTGCGATTGTCCCTCCAAACGTCAGAGGCAAGACTTCGAGATCAAGCCCGGCATGATCGCTCTAGTCAAGGATCACATCTTCCATGGACTTCCTGCTGAGATTCCTGCGGACCATATCCAGAACTTTGAGGAGATATGCAGCACGACTGGTTCGAATGGAGTACCGGCTGACTTTCTGAAGTGCAAGCTATTCCCGTTCTCACTTGCCAACAAAGCATCTCGCTGGCTGAAGTCATTACCACCTGGTCTTTGACTTCATGGGACCAAGTTAGAGCAGCTTTCCTGGACCACTTCTACACGAAGTCCAAGAATGCAGCTCTAAGGACGAAGATCGCATCTTTCCAGCAGTATGATGGAGAAGCTTTCTGCGAAGCATGGGAGAGATACAAGGAGTGCCGAAGAGAGTGCCCTCATCACGGATACTCTGACGAGCAGATCCTGAGCATCTTCTATGATGGAGTCAACTGGGACTACAGGAATGCTTTGAACGCAGCCAGCAATGGCGATTTCATGACGAAGTCCAAGGAAGGTGCATTCGAGCTGATCGAGAATCTTGCAGCGAGCTCGAGCAACAAGAACGCTGAGTACGACAGAACAGTGAGCACTGTATCTGTCAAAGGAAGCAGTGCTGATGCGAAGAAGATTGAGGAGCTCACTGCTAAGGTGAATCTATTGATGAAGGCGCAGCAGAAGTCTGTTCATTTTGTTGACGAAACGATGATGCACCTATCTCTCAAGAGTTTGGAGGAGAGGAGAAGACGATGATCAGATGGAGGTCAACTATGTGAATGGGCAACCTTTTGTGCCTAACCGTGGTTTCAACTCGAACTACAGAAACCATCCGAACATGTCCTACAGGAGCACCAACGTCGAGAACCCTCAGGATCAGGTCTATCCGCCTCGATCGAACCAGAACCAGCAGAGTTATCAGAAGAGCTATCCTAACAGCTTCCAGGAGAAGACCTTTTGCCCCAAACCAGAATCGTTCTCAGGGAGGTAACCAACAGAAGGCGCAGTTCAGCAATCAGCAACAACCTTCAGGTTCATCGAACAACTCGAACGATGAGCTTAAGGGTATGATGCAGCAGATGTTGATGAACCAGCAGAAGTCCACTGCGGAGACACACTTGAAGATAGACACCATGTACAACGATCTGAATGGGAAGTACGAAGCTGTGTGGACTCACGTGAAGAAGCTGGATGTCCAAGTAGCTCAAACCGCTGAAGCTGTGAAGAGACCTCAGGAACCCTTCCTGGGAAAGGAGAATCCCCAGGAATGAGTATGTTGCACAAGTTGAGCTGAGAAGTGGAAGGAAGCTACAACCTGCTGTGATTCCTCTGAAAAGGGCAGGCAAGGAGAAAGCCGACGAGAATCTGGAAGAAGAAGCCGAAGTCGATCGAGCTGCATCCAGCGGACTCGATCGAGCTGGTGAAGACGCTTCGTCGTCTCAGGTAGCTGATTTACCTACTCCTGCAGCTGCAGAGACTGCTCCAGCCCGAGCTTACGCACCTAAGGTGCCTTACCCTGTTCCACGGAAGAAGTCCAGAAAAGACTTGGAGGATGCTAAGTGTAAGGAGATGCTGAAGGACTTGACTGTGAAGCTGCCTCTGTCTGATGCTGTTCAGATGATTCCTGCTCTGAAGAAGTACATGAAGGAGCTGATATCTGGGAAGGTAGCTGAGGATGAGAACGTCATGCTAGTGTCGGAGGAGTGCAGCGCTGTGCTGCAGAACAAGGTGATCAAGAAGAGGAGCGATCCAGGAAGATTTGTCTTGTCAGTGCAGATAGGCCATGACCTTCGCATGCTCTCTTTGCGATCTTGGCTCGAGCGTGAACCTGATGCCGTATTCTGTGGCCAAGCGATTGGGATACACAAGTTCAAACCCACGAAAGTCTCTTGGTTTTCGCTGACAGATCGACTAAGTTCCCAGTCGGTATACTTGAGGACTACATGTGCAGATAGGGAACACACTCATTCCAGCAGACTTTGTAGTCCTCGAGCTCGACGAAGAGCCTAAGGATCCGCTCATACTAGGGCGAAACTTCCTATGCACAGCTGGTGCAATCATTGACGTGAAGGGAGGAATCATTGATCTCCATCTGGGAGATATCGTCATGAGGTTCGAGATGAACAAACTCCTCAAGAAGCCAATGTTAGATGGGCAAACTTATGTGATTGAAGATGGCTCAAACTTGGTGGACGAAGTGAGTGAGGAGATGCTTCTTGACGACCCTCTGGAGGTAGCTTTGACTAAAGCTGAAGGCGAGTATGATTTCCTGAATGAGGAAGCCGATGGCTTCGGGAAATGATGGATGCGAGCGGCAAGATGGAGAGACTGGTGGCGTTCATGAGCTTGGAGGAAAAGGAAGATCGATCGAAGCCGTGCCAGATCGATCGAATGCACCTCAGGAGAGTCCGTCAACAGCCCTTGGAGCGAGTCGAGTGCACCTAAGCTCGAGCTGAAAACACTCCCTGCGGGGCTCAGGTATGCATTTCTGGGACCTAACTCTACATACCCTGTGATAGTGAATGCTGAGCTGAACAATGTTGAACTTGCTTTGCTTCTCTGTGAGCTTAGGAAGTATAGAAAAGCTATAGGGTATTCGCTAGATGACATCCCTGGAATTTCTCCTGATCTTTGCATGCATAGAATACATCTAGAAGATGAATCGATGACTTCTGTAGAACATCAGAGGAGGTTAAACCCGAATCTAAAAGATGTTGTCAAGAAAGAGATAATGAAACTTCTAGATGCTGGTGTAATTTATGCTATATCTGATAGTAAGTGGGTCAGTCCTGTGCATGTAGTTCCTAAGAAAGGTGGTATAACTGTTGTTAAGAATGATAGGAACGAGCTGATACCCACTAGAACTGTCACTGGTCATCGCATGTGCATTGATTACCGCAAACTGAATGCTGCAACTCGCAAAGATCATTTTCCTCTCCCATTTATTGATCAAATGCTTGAGAGATTGGCTAACCATCCATACTACTGCTTTTTAGATGGTTACTCAGGTTTCTTTCAGATCCCCATCCACCCAGACGACCAGGAGAAGACGACATTCACATGTCCATATGGCACTTATGCATATCGCAGAATGCCGTTTGGACTGTGCAATGCACCGGCGACGTTCCAGCGCTGCATGATGTCTATTTTCACTGACCTTATTGAGGACATAATGGAAGTTTTCATGGACGACTTTTCCGTCTATGGAAGCTCCTTTGCTGTGTGTTTGTCTAATCTGTGCAGGGTATTGCAGCGGTGTGAGGAGAGACATCTTGTGCTGAACTGGGAGAAATGCCACTTCATGGTGAGAGATGGGATCGTGCTGGGACATAGGATTTCAGAGAAGGGAATCGAGGTCGACCGAGCGAAGATCGAGGTGATGATGAGTCTACAGCCGCCTAATTCTGTCAAGGGAATCCGCAGCTTTCTGGGGCATGCAGGGTTCTACAGGCGATTCATCAAGGACTTCTCCAAGATCACCAGACCTTTGACGATGCTGTTGTGTAAGGAGGTCAAGTTCGACTTTGACAGTACATGTTGGAGGCCTTTCACACGATCAAGGGAGCTCTGGTGAGTGCTCCAATTGTCCAACCTCCTGACTGGAGCCTTCCGTTCGAGGTGATGACAGATGCTAGTGACTATGCTGTCGGAGCGGTTCTGGGCCAGAGAAAGGAGAAGAAGCTGCACGTGATCTACTACGCCAGTCGCACACTTGATGAAGCTCAGTGCAAGTACGCTACGACTGAGAAGGAACTATTGGCGGTGGTGTTTGCATTTGAGAAGTTTCGGTCCTATCTTGTTGGATCGAAGGTGATTGTCCACACTGATCACGCTGCATTGAAGTACTTGCTGACGAAGAAGGATGCGAAGCCGAGACTCTTGAGATGGATTCTTTTGCTTCAGGAGTTCGATCTGGAGATCAAGGATAAGAAAGGGATTGACAATGGTGTAGCTGATCACCTGTCAAGGATGAAGATCGATGATGACGTCCCTCTAGACGACAGCCTTACCTGATGAGCACGTCTACGCTGTTGAGGTGATCGACTACGGCGAGCCCCTGCTCGCAGATGATGGAGTTCGATCGAGTGCACCAGAAGGAGGTCGATCGAATGGTGATGACGGAGATCGTGCTTTGAGCTGTAACGCCGTTGACCGTTCCAGTTTCCCATGGTTTGGAGAGATAGCGAATTACCTCGCTGCTGAGCATGAACCTACTGGTTTTGTGGGAACAAGAAGAAGAAGTTCTTGAGAGACATCCGGCGCTATTTCTGGGATGAGCCATACCTGTACAAGCACTGCACCGATGGAGTCTACAGGAGATGTGTAGCTGATGAGGAGATACCTGGGATCTTGTTCCACTGTCATAGCTCGTCTTATGCTGGACACTTCGCCACGTACAAGACTGTATCCAAGGCGCTGCAAGCTGGCTACTGGTGGCCCACCATGTTCCGAGATGCACAGATTCGTGTCTAAGTGTGATGTATGCCAGAGACAGGGGAACATCAGTAAGAGAAACGAGATGCCACAGAACTTCATTCTGGAAGTAGAGGTTTTCGACGTGTGGGGAGTTGACTTCATGGGACCCTTCCCATCTTCCTATGGAAACCTGTACATTTTGGTGGCTGTCGACTATGTATCTAAGTGGGTAGAGGCTTTGGCCAGTCCCACTAATGATGCAAAGGTCGTGATGAAGATGTTCAAGTCGGTGATCTTCCCTCGATTTGGTGTGCCGAGAGTTGTTATCAGTGATGGAGGTTCCCATTTCATCAATAGGACCTTCGATAATATGTTGAAGAGGCACGGGGTGAAGCACAAGGTGGCGACTCCTTATCATCCCCAGACGAGTGGCCAAGTCGAGCTATCTAACAGAGAGATCAAGAACATCCTTCAGAAGACTGCAGGCACGACTGGGAAGGACTGGGCTGCAAAGTTGGATGATGCACTCTGGGCCTATCGAACTGCCTACAAGACTCCTCTTGGTACGACACCGTTCAACTTGGTCTATGGCAAGGCTTGTCACCTGCCTGTGGAGTTAGAGTACAAGGCTGCGTGGGCAGTGAAGCAGATGAACTATGACATGAAGTCTGCGGCAGAGAGGAGGAACATGCAGTTGGTCGAGCTTGACGAGATTAGGCACCTGGCCTATGACAGTTCGAAGATCTACAAGGAGCGGACTAAAGCTTACCATGACAAGAAGATCCTGAAAAGGAACTTCTCCCAAGGAGATCAAGTCCTGCTGTTTAACTCCAGGCTGAAGTTGTTTCCTGGAAAGCTGAAATCAAGGTGGTCTGGGCCCTTCGTTATCAAGGAAGTCAGACCATATGGAGCTTTTGAGCTATGGGACAAGTCTGGTGGACACTTCGTGGTGAACGGTCAACGCCTCAAGCCATACCTTGCTGATACCGACATCACAGAGAGGGAATCTGTTCCTCTCAGTGATCCATCTCCTGCCTAATAGGCATTCAAGTCAAGCTAGTGACTTAAACCAAGCGCTTGGTGGGAGGCAACCCACTGGTAAGTGTACATACTCCTTTTCAATTTGATTTCCTGCTAATTTTGTTTTCTTTGTTTGAAAAAAAAAAAAAAAAAAAAAAAAGCAGGAACCGGGTCGGATCGACCGACCCATCAGGTCAACCCGCCCATCGACCGACCCACCCGCCCGCACGACGACCTCATCTACGGCCGACGCTGATGCTCTTTCCTGACGCCACTCGACCGATCACCACCACTGTATCATTCCATTTTCCCTTTTCTTTTTCTTTTATTGAGTCTGTTTAACTCTCTCCTTGGTTTCTTTTCACACCGGGTCGGTGTGAAGTAAGTCCGGGGGAGGGTCTTTGTGTTTACTAACGTCTTTTTCTTTCTTTTGTTTTCTGTTTCACCTTGAGTCATTTTGATGTTTTCTTTGAGTCAGGTTTTATTGAGTCAAAAACTTGTTGGGAATAAACTTATTTGATGCAAACCATTTGATCTTGAATTCTTTCTATCTAGTGACCAATTTTGCAGGGTTTGTTATGTGTAAAAAGCTGGATTACCCTTTTGGTCAGACTTCCCCCAGGAATTTTCGTTTTGCAGAGATTTTGGTGAAACATTTGGTTGACTCTAATGCTATTGGACCACTACCACTCTCTGTTGATCCTGAGTGGCCAGCCCATTTTTGGTTGGTACCCACCTTTGAGCCTTACCTCCTTTCTGACTTCATGCACTCTGTTCTTTTTGTCATATATGCAGATATGTGCAAAAACGTCGGAGAGAAAGGTTCGACACAGCTTCCCAACCACATTCAAGACGAGTGTTCATCTACAACACTGAGAATGGGAAGTGATGGTGGAGTATGGAGCCTGAATCGATCGAACTGATGGTCGTTCCTTGGAGAAGCACGAATACACGGTAACATTTACGAGCCATTGACACTAGTTCCCCTCAAAAAAAAAAAAAAAAAAATCAGAAAAACTTGAGGAAAGGAACTAGTGGTTCAATAAAATGTCAAGCTCGACCGAATACCTCCAAGGAACACCACCGATCAAGGCGAATTGGGAGTTAGAGCTGTTCTGGATAAAATCCAACATACAAGGAGTTGAAGAGTGAAGTGGTTGGGAAATGTGGCTATCAACAGAACCATTCTCTCTTGCTGTTTTGCGCGATATCATGCATCCTCCGGCGTATCTGGTAACCCTTAAACACTTTAACCTCACCAAAAAAGGCCTTTTGATACCCAACACCGTCGACCCTGTATGATGTTCTTGATGAGAGGTCCACGCCAAATCTTAATGAATGTAGAGAGTTAACCAATGTGTAGCTTGAGTTTCTGCAGGATGGAGGTTCATCACGGGATCAGGAATGCGAGACTTCAAGGGGACTACAGTGATTATGCACTGACCGAACCTTGTCCTTTGAGGTCTACTGATGATCCTTCGGGGTATGGTTGCTGATGATTTGTGAGTTCCCGCGTTTTCAAACTTCTTCCCTATTCTTGGAATTTATGTTTGCTTGAGGGCAAGCAAAAGACCAAGTCCGGGGGAGTTGATATCTTGCGTATTTGACGCATTCTAACCTTGTTTTCACGAGTTTTATCGAGTCTTTCTAGTCTTTATCGAGTCTTTTCAGGTCTAAAGACGTTCCAGGGAGAGCTTTGGTCACATGGACCAACAAAGGCGAAAGCAGGCAAAACGGAGCTATGCGCGAACAGCTCGATCGATCCCATACACAGAGTTCGATCGACTCGTACACGAGACACAGCTCGATCGATGTACACGAGCAGCAGCTCGATCGAGCTCGTACACGAGCAGCAGCTCGATCGATCGTCACGAGAGCTCGATCGATCAGAGAGTCGATCGATCCCTGCATGCCATGCAGCGATCGATCTCAGCCGTTCGATCAATCCCGGTCAGATGATATCACAGCCGTTCGATCTACTTGGTGCAAACCGACTCGATCGAACCACAGCGAACCGGATTGAACCGAAGTCGACCCCGGAGCTATTTAGACCTATCTTTAGCCATTGTTTAGGCTACGCCGTTTTTCAGAGTTTTACACTGTTGTTCATTGTTTCCGAGGGAGAAGAGATCAAACCTCTGTTTTCACAGTTTGGAGAAGATTTCTGAACCCTTTTGTTTGCTATTTTCTTATTTGATTCAATGACATTCATTCAGTATTGTTTGCTGTTTCGCCATGTCTGAGTAGTCACCCTGCTAGATCTAGGTTTTTCAAAGGGATTCATGTGTTAATTGACTGAATACAGATAGGGCTTTAATACTGTCTTCGCCATTGTTGCTTACTGCTTAGATCGATCTGATCATTCGATCTCTGATCTCAGATTACCTGTTCATCAAAAGTGCAATAGGTTGTTAGAACGAACTGTGGTGAGCGAATCGTCCTTAGCCTGCGAAAGTTGATGCTAAGGCGATTCGTGAACTTATCGAACCTGAGTTTACTGCTTGTCATCAATTGCTAGATTCAAACGACAGTTTAGACATCTAGGTTGTTAGAAAGTTGTCATTATCGCGAAAGTGAATTGACTTATTGTTTTGTTTGAGTTCGAGACCTGTTCTCATCTGTGCCCTGAATAGTTGTTTGGTCGTTAACCGTGAATCTCTGCGAATTGCCTTGGTCTAGTCCCTGTTTAATTGAATTACATCATCGTTTACATTCGTTACCTGTTACTAAAACCAATCATCTTTGTCTTAGCTCTGTTTTAAATCTCCTAGTTTCACAGTGTAACGCTGGTCCTCTGGATTTCGAATCCTTTATATTACAATCTTCATCACTGATAATTTGCAGTAGAGAAAAGGACCTATTTCTAGTTTATCATTGACTTGAGCCTCGAAACTGCTGTATCATTCGCCTGAACTAGTATTTGGTGGGCAACCTCTTTTAGACTGCGAAAGTTGATTTACTTGTAGGTTGTGAACAATTGAACTTAATCGAACTAATGCTTGATTTAATCACCTAGGGACATACCAAAAGTTTAGCGACTAGGGAGATTAACAAAGGGGTCGGAGCCTCGACAGTGGAAAGATCATACCATAGTGTTTCGAGTTCTAGATGGCACCTAATTGCAATAACCCTAATTGATTGATCCTTGCTTCTTGAATTGCTTATCTTAAGACTATCCTATTGCTTAGCCCTCTCCTTTACTTGCTTACTTTACTTGCATGCCTTTACTTTTACTGCACTCAACCAACTCATACTTTTGCCCTAGCTCGATCTCAATCTCATAGTTTGTAGTGTGCAATCTGGTCCTCGTGTTCGATACCCGTTTACTACTTCTGACCTGTGCACTTGCAGAATCAGGGATAGGAAAGGGAAGACCTGATCCCGCGATCAAGTTTTTGGCGCCGTTGCCGGGGACCAATTCGCACCTACAAGCTCTTGCAAGAGAGCTAGTCTAGGGTTTCTTCATTTCCTTTTTTTTTTGTTATTTTTCCTTTTTTCTTTTGATTTCGTTTTTCCTTTTTGTTTTTGAGCTTTTTCAGGTTTTCCTAGTTAGATATGGAAAAGGATTCACAAGTCCTTGACCCTATAAAGGCGATCCCACTTCGCCACATACCACCTCAAAGAGACCTCTTGGACGAACAAGAGATGTCAAGCCCTCAAGCACCACCACCTTCTTGGGATAGTCCTCCAAAACTATCTCCCTTGAAGTCCAAGAAGAAACTTCTTCCCTACCTTGAAGCAGCCGACCTGGAGACGTCTAGCCAAGCCGCATCTTACAGAGAAGAACACCTTCTAGCCACACCAGAAGAGGAGATTGACCCTGAACTGATCGAGTTCGTGAAGAGAGATCAATTCCATGATCTATTTTCGGAGTATGCACTGGAGCACATAGATCACTTTGAGAATCTTTGTGATTCTTATGGAGTCTTTGACTTTGAGAAGAAGATTGATGATAGGATTCGTGTATGTGATGTGATGATATGATATGAAATGTAAATGAGGTGGAATGCAACAGTGGTATATGAAGATGAGGTGGTATGGTGAAAAACACAATCACAATCAATCAATTCCCCTTAACCATCATAGTTGTTGAAGTATAAGGGGTATCAATCCATAAGGGTGAAATTATTAGGGAAAATTTCAAAACTACACCTCTTGAGGTGCAAATTTTCAAAAATACACCTCTATAGTGCCAATTTTCAAAACTACACTTTTTTCATTTAGTAAAAGAACGCTAACCCCTAAAATATAAATCCAAAACCCTAAAATCTAACATTGAACCCTTAAATCTAAACCCTAAACCCCAAAATCTAAAATATAGGATTAGTGAACCCAAACATATATATTAAAATTGGGGAAAAGTGTATTTTTGAAAATTTCCACACTATAGGTGTAGTTTTGAAAATTTGCACCTGAAGAGGTGTATTTCATAAAATTTCTCAAATTATTACTCTTTGAGAATGTGAAATAACAAGAAAGTCAAACCAAATGATAAAGAGGGATAATGTAACAGCTAACAACCTAAAGAAATTGAAGTGCAATGCAGAAAGTAAAGAAAACAGTAAAGCAAGCAGCTCGACCAAGGACTCGAGTCGAGCTGGTCTTCAAGATGACTTCCTCCATCTTCCTTTGCGTATCCAGTTGAGCTGCGTCCATGCACCAAGTCCTTCCTTGCTCCTCACGTCCCATATGCTCCAAAATGCTCTAAGAGACCTATTTCAAAGGACCAAACATGCATATGTATGCAAATGCAACCTAAAACTACTATGAATGCACATGAAGGAAAAAGGAACAAGATATGATGCTAATGGATGCTAAAACTATGCAAAAGATGCATAAAAGATGTACTAAAACCATCTAAAATGCAAGTACATCAAAGATGATGCTATTCAGCATGTCTTTAGCTGGACCAGCTCTAGACTGGGGACAACATGAAGCGTTTTCTCCAATCGAGTCATGGATCGATTTCAGAGAAGCATTCTTGAAGATATTTGTGAAGCTATCACCTTTCAAATCAAAGTACAACCACTACTCTTATCACCTAGAAGTGGAGCGTGATGAAGAAGAATGGGGAGGCATACAACCTCATCCTGAGATCATGAATGAAGAACTAATCAAGCATGTGGAGAGAGACACTTTCCATGATTTCACTTCAGAGTGTGCAAAGGAGCATCTATACAACTTTGAGCAACTTTGCAACTACTATGGTCTTGGAGACAACCCCAAGAAGATACAACTGTTCCAACAATCGTTAGCTGGACGAGCTAAGGAATGGGTGAACTTCAATGCCCAACACGCCTTCAAGACTTGGCATAGGTACAAGGAAGCTTTCCTTTACAGATTCGCGAGAGGTCCGATCTATGTTCCACCACCCCGCCCAGCTATTCACGACACCATCCATCATCACCAAACATAAATCAGACACCTCTTTTTGCTGAGGAGAGTTCACAAGCCGCGCGCCCAACCAAGGTTGAAGTGATGCTTCAACAATACTTGAAGGATCAAGATGAGAGTACAAAGAAGATGGAGAGGAGAATCGATTTCATCCATGAGAGTCTTGGAAACAAATCTGAAGTCCTATTCAAGCAAGTGATCAAGCTTGATGAAGACATAAAGAAGCTTAGAGAAGACCATGATCGATCTCTAAACCTTATAAGACTTGATGTTGCTGCCAAATATCAAGAGTTGCTCAAAAAGAGCATGAAGATTGAAGATACCAACTATGATAATAGCAAACACCTTGGATCGATCTACAACCGCCTACAAGCCCTTGAAGGATCATCTAACTGAAAGTACAAGAGAGAGATGAGTCCAACACCCAACCTCCCTCCCTTTCTTTGCAATTGCTATCATTAGAAGAGGCAACAATCGCTAAGTCCATGAGGACAATGAAGAAGAAGAAAGAGAATATGAGGAACAGTTACATGATGAAGATGAAGAGCAGAGCATCGACATCAATGCTTCTCCAAAACAGAGCAAGGATACACCTAGCTCAGCCGATCCTCGTTTCTCACCACCACCACGAAGTTAAGCTTCTGATCCCGCGATCAAGTTTTTGGCGCTGTTGCCGGCGACCAATTCGCACCTACAAGCTCTTGCAAGAGAGCTAGTCTAGGGCTCCTTCGATTTCCCTTTTGTTTTCTTGTTATTTTTCCTTTTTTCTTCTGATCTTGTTTTTCCTTTTTGTTTTTGAACTTTTTCAGGTTTTCCTAGTTAGATATGGAAAAGGATTCACAAGTCCTTGACCCTATAAAGGCGATCCCACTTCGCCACATACCACCTCAAAGAGATCTCTTGGACGAACAAGATATGTCAAGCACTCAAGCACCACCACCTTCTTGGGAACCTTATGATAGCCCTCAAAAGTTATCTCCCTTGAAGTCCAAGAAGAACCTTTTTCCCTACCTTGAAGCAGCCGACCTGGAGACGTCTAGCCAAGCCGCATCTTACAGAGAAGAACACCTTCTAGCCACGCCAGAAGAGGAGATTGACCCTTAACTGATTGAGTTCGTGAAGAGAGATCAATTCCATGATCTATTTTCGGAGTATGCACTGGAGCACATAGATCACTTTGAAAATCTCTGTGATTCTTATGGAGTCTTTGCCTTTGAGAAGAAGATTGATGATAGGATTTGTGTGTGTGATGTGATGATATGATATGAAATGTAAATGAGGTGGAATGCAATAGTGATATATGAAGATGAGGTGCTATGGTGCAAAACACAATCACAATCAATCAATTCCCCTGTTGAGATAGGAAAAGGGAAGACCTGATCCCGCGATCAGTTGATCTGACCAATCAACATATGATCTTAGGTTGACTTGAGTCACGAAAGTGATGAATCATTCACCTATACTAATATTTGATGGGCAATCTTTTTTAGAGTGCGACAGTTGATCTACTTGTAGCTTGTGAACAATTGACATTCCTTCGAATTAATGCTTGATTTAATCATCTAAGGACATACCAAAAGTTTAGCAATTAGATAGATTAAAAAAGGGGTCAGAGCCACGACAGTGGAAAAATCATACATTAGTGTCTTGAGTTCTAGATGGTACCCAACTCTTAGGAACCCTAATCAAACGAACTTGCTGCTTGAACTACTTATCTAGAGATTAACCTATTGCTTAGCTTTCTCCTCCTTATTGCTTTCATATTTACTTATCTATTTTCTTGGCTTCCTTATTTCGTTATAGCTATAATCAAACAAACCCTATACTTTTGCCCTAGCTTAATCTTGAACTCATACCTTGTAGTGTGCAATTTGCTCCTTGTGTTCGATACCCGTTACTACTTCTGATCTTTCACTTGGAGAATCAGGGATAGGAATTGGGAAAATCTGATCCCGCGATCAAACTAGCTTCAAAATTGGCCTCCGGTCGACCAGTACATTCGTACGGTTGTTCGTCAGGATCGGCCAGGAATCGGGTCATATAGGTCGTTCGGTACGGTCGGTAATAGGATGATTCTTTGGTCGGTATGATCGTATATGGATGGTTCCTTTGGTCGGTCGGTATCTTCGCCCGGACTAATTTGTTATGCTTTGCAGGACAATCGATCGCAGACGGATGGTTCCTGGGTCGGACAATTTGGTCAAGTGGTCATGTCGAGTGGCTGGTGAAGGACGGTCGCACGCGGGTATTCGCTTCCCGGGTCAAACGGTATGCTCGGACGGATTGTGCCGGACAGTTGGTGAAGATCCGTCGACCGCAAAACAGTAAGCTCCCGGGTTGATCGGTACGCTCGGTCGAGTACCGAGGTTGGCTGTGTCCATTCCTAGGGAACTTGGCACGACCACAGACTAAAGGTTCCCGGATCGGCCATATCGCTTGGCCAAAATCTGGCTGTATACTGTCGATAGCTTCTCGGCTCGGCCAAAATGCTCGGTCGAGGCGCGGGACGGTACATGTCCGGTTTTCGGCTGTCTGGACTTGTCTTCACTAAAATGATCATAACTTCGTTTCTACTCATCCAAATTGCAAGAATCCAATTCATCACGACAAAGTGACCTTGATGAAATCCGTTGAGTATAATGTTTTTACGGCCCTCTCAAAGTTGATGCTGCGGTATGGAGCGGCATAAAGTCCAAATCCTGTGGTTTTTCTCCAAAATGCATCTTTCGACCTGTTTAGACTCTTAGTACTATAAATCTATAAAAACTACCTTTTTAATTCAAAAACCCATCAAAAACCTTATGAAAAGCGTAGTAAAACTATATAAAAAGCGTATAAAATAGAGGTATATCAATAGTCTTGATACAAAATCGTTGCCACTAAGCGTGGGTTGCCTCTCCTTCTACAACTGCTTCTACTTTCAACAGCCCGAGAGCAGTTATGCTTGTTCTTTTATCTTCGGAAACTGGAAAATTCTGATCCAACTTTCTTCGCAGTTCGCATATACCAATTACAGCCTCTGCTTTCTTGAGTGCACTTTAAAATAAGTCGGATTGTATCTGACTTATAAGTGCATATACCAAAACAATGTTTCATTTGACTGTGAAGCTCTGTCAAGTAAATATTACTATGCCACATTCAACGGAAATTCTTGTTTTATGTCAATACCAATACCATCTTCCCATTTTCAGACAACTGAATTTCTTCTAAAGGACGTGAAAGCTCAATATCCTGATCAACCCCATTTAACCCGTCTTCCTTACTATCAGTTTCTGGACGCTCACCATTTCCATCATGTTCTTTACCATCAGATTCCACCTCTTTGATATGTGGCTCTCTCTGTTTTCCTCTTGTTCCTTCCTCCGTGATAATAGCAACGATATCGTCATTTGGTACATCACCTTTGGCATTTGGAACCGACTCTCCTCGTAATTCAAACCAAATGAACTTTCTGCCTCCGTTCTAGATAGGTGCTAGCTCCTATGGTTTATCCCAAATCTTTGATTACCTCCACATGTAAAACCCTCCTGAATCCCAATTTATCAACTGTCGTTAAATATGCAAATAGGTCCTTATCATCAAAAATGTACATCTTTCTCGTAGGATTATTTGACATTGGAATGTAACTCAATTTCAGCAGCGGCTTAGCTCCATCTCTCGCAATCTTCCTACATATCTTATATACTACCGTCGAGTAGATAATGTCCTCCAAAGATTAGATCTTGAAGGTTATACCACAAGGGGGATTTTTTTAAACCCATTTCAACTCCTCTTCTGAATAATAAATTCGGTGGTCGAATGAGATCTTGAAGGTTATACCACAAGGGGGGATTTTTTGAAACCCATTTCAACTTTTCTTCTGAATAATAATATATGTGGTCGAAAAATTTGTTTGTGATGTTGATGCTTGTCGTCCCCTGGAAATATAATGCAAATAATTAATTGCCAATTACAAAATGTCTCACAGTTGTACTACATGTACCAGTTGAACTTTTAGTACCTAAAGTCTTTAATATTCAGTTGTACCTATATGAACCATTTGAACCACTTAATCAACTAACTCTAATTTGTACCAGTTGTACCAACTTTGCAGGTTTGGATTTAGTTCAAATTCAGTTCAGTGACTCCAATTCACAAGCTACAATCGTCAAAACTCTTAATCTAATGCCTATTCTATCAATAATGCATGTATACCATTCCAATGTCTATATCCAATGAACCAATTTACAAATCCATATATCAAACACATAAACAAAAGCTAGAAACTTACTTCCATTGGAATTAAAGCTTCAACAATGGTAAAACAAAGAGAAAGGGGACATCAACTGTGTTGGGAGGAGAAAGAGGAGGTCAAATAGGTGTCGAAGATTTCGATTTCAATGGTAGGGAATGGAACTCACATGAGGAGATGCAACTTTCCTACCAAGTTGTATAAGTAAATAGAGAGGCTATCTATTAAAAATAACTGAGTAAATAAGATATATATTATTTTTAATAGAGTAACTGAGTATATAAGTAAACATAATATATATCTTTTTATATAAAGTTGGATGCTCTTGACGTGGTCACGACACGTAGAATTTTTATAATTCATAGAATCCCGACATGTGTTTTTTTTTTTTTAATTATGAATGTATTAAGACTGTGACATGTGTCATGGAATAAAAAAGAAAACAATATATATAAAACCAAGAAAAAATCAGAAAAATAGATTACAAACAACTAAAAATAAAAAAAATGTTACATCCATTAGGAAAAAGAAATGAAGCCTTATCATTATTCAAAAAAAAAACGAAAATTAGAAAACAGGAAACAAGTAATTAAAAATAAATATTGTAACATCCGTTAAAAATTAAAAAATTATTATCCTTAATCTTTCGTTAAGAAATTAAAAAATTATTATCTTTGAAAACTTCATGAAATCAATAAAGAATATTCAACTAACATATGTCTAATATTTGATCACGTGATGACATGTGTTAATACTAGAAAGATGGAAAAAATGTAATAACAGAAATATAAATCTAAAAAATAATTGTAAAAGAAGTAACTAATAATGAAAAAAACAAAATATAATGGTCTAGGCAAAAACGAAATTTAAAAATGAACAATATAAATAGATAACTAACAAAATAATTATCTAACAAGTAACTAATATTAAAAAGAATTTTTTTATAATAGACCAAAATTCTAATTTTTAATTGTTTAATTTTTAATTTTGTGTTAGGTAAATTAAAAACATTTCACCAATTGACATTTCTTGATTTGAATAATCAAAAGTTTCACAAGTTAATTACTCGATCAAATTTAGAAACATGCAATTCTATTTATATTTGATTAAAATAAGGGGGGGGACTGGTTATTGGGAGATAAATTTATTTAGATTTGATAAATTTGAAAAGTTAAGAGTTTGTTAAATTTATAAGGAGTTTGTGATAGATTTGGAGAGAGTTTGTATATTCATAGAATCAATCAAAATATTTTATTATAATGAATTTTGAAAATTTAAGGTTTATAGGTATTATTTTGGAAATTTTGTTCCATGAGTTAAATTGTTTAAAATCTGTGTCCCAATTTTAACGGATTCATGAAATTATAAAAACACAAACTTTTTGAATAACAACTGATTTTGTATGGACATTTTTGGAGCTTATGGGATGCAGTTGTTCCTCATTTTCTCTTGGGTCGTGAGACAGTCATAATCTTATTGTCATAGACGTTTTCCAGAATTTTTACTCAAAGGGCTACTCAAGTAGGCCTCGGTTTGAGTAGCTTATCTGGGTGCAAGTGTGTCTCAGTATAAGCAGTGGCATGCTCGCCTAGGTGCAAATGGGCCTCAGTTAAAGTCAAACCCGAAAAATGTTGCTTCCCTTTGACTCCCCTTTGACCCTAAACCTTGTTTGCTTTACTCCCCTTTGTCTTAGCTTTTCTTTATTTATTATTGCTTCCCCCTTGACTTTTTAGACCCTAAACCCATCCTTTGTGTTCTTGAAGCTCTTAGCTTCTTGAATCTTAGATCCTATTATTTGCTTTGTATTTGCTCTGCTTATTTCAATAAAAGTTGCTTATTTCAATAAAAGTTGTTTATTTCATCTCCTCTTTCTTATGATGTCTTTTATTGCATTTGCTTGTGTTTACATTCATGTGTAGTGAGTAGTTACCCATTAGGGTTTGAGATGGGATAGATTAGAGGTTTCATATGCTTAATCCTTCTAGCTTATGGTCTTAATCTAGATTCTCTCTCTTTTGGATAGATCTTAAGGCTACATGACCACTACCCCTGGCTTGTAAGTCCTTAGGCGACTCCCCACACGAAAGTGATGGCATTCGCTGGAAAAGATCCACTAAGAGCTCCAATATCTCTTGCTCTAGACAATAGAGGTCTAAGGGGTTGGATGGATTAGTTTGGGCAATGATCCTATAGCCTCCAAGGTTTGATTCTCACTGGCTAACCCCCTGTTTCTGAGATCATTCCTTGGTTGATAGCCTCCACCTTGGGAAAGGGTTGGCTAGGCATTGAGAAGCCCAATATCAAGAGAAGCCTTGATACAAGGAGTTTTAAGAGCTAGATTGATTAAGTGTAGATTCCTTTGATTGCAAAACCCTGTCTTGAACCCTAATTCTCTCTTTATCTTGTTAAAGTCGTCACCTTTAGCTTTTTTGTCTCAACTCGTCCCTAAACTCGATCGAGCTGGTACTCTGTCCACTCGACTCGAGTCTTGGTCGAGCTACTTCACTGCTTTGTTTACTTTTATTGCACTGCATTTTCATTTTTAGGTTGTTAGTGTTACTTCAAATCTATAACTGCTTGCTTGACTTTCTGGTTGTTTCATATTCTCATAGAGTGACAAGTTTCCCATTTTGGATTGATAACCCTTTGTACTACATCAACTATCATGGTTAAAGGGAATTGTTGACTGTGTTTGTGTTTGCATCTTACCACCATCATTACCACTGATTGCATTCCACTCATCTCATTTCATTCTTTTCACATCCACACACAAATCCTATCATCAATTTGGCGCCGTTGCCGATTTGGGAATATTTTTGTTGCATTTGAGTTTCAAACACACTTGGACGATCAAGCTATACCACCCCTGTTCTATTGTACTGCTGGGTTTTTGTCTCTTTTTGCAGGTGTATGCGAACTCGATCGAGTCGGTCAACTGAAGACTTGGTCGAGCTAGACATTACAACGGGTAGAAAGAGGGTTCAGAGGTCACAGAGGGTACAAGAGGAACCTGAGGTGCTTGTTGCTGATACAATGGATGTACCAGAGGGGAATGGAAACCCTTTGGGCATGGACTCGGTCGAGCTAGGCAAACTCGACCGATTGGTCAAGGAGATGCTCCAAACCGCCACCAACAGAGACAAGGGATTGTTCCACCACCAGTGCAGAACCACAACTTTGAGATCAAGCTGGGAATGATCAACCTTGTCCAGAACAAGATGTTCCATGGATTGCCAAGTGAAGACCCCATTGACCACCTTGATGAGTTTGATAGGCTTTGTGATTTGACAAAGATCAATGGTGTCTCTGAAGATGCCATCAAGCTGAGACTCTTTCCTATGTCTCTAGCTGACAAAGCTCACCAATGGGAGAAGAGCTTGCCCCATGGCACAATCACCACTTGGGATGAATGCAAGAAGGCCTTTCTTGCTAAGTTTTTCTCCACCGGTCGCACAGCCAAGCTTAGAGGAGAGATATCCAGCTTCATCCAGCGAAACAATGAGACATTCGCAGAGGCTTGGGAGAGGTTCAAAGGCTACACAAGTCAGTGCCCACACCATGGATTCAACAATGAATCACTACTCTCCACTCTTTATAGAGGATGCTTGCCTAGGTATAGGGAGATGCTAGACACAGCTAGCAATGGGAACTTCCTCAACCAGGATGTAGATGATGGCTGGCAACTTGTGGAGAACATAGCTAACTCAAATGGAAGCTATGGAGAAGAGTATGATCGCACTCGACCCACCACTCGATCGAGTCAGACGAAAAGTTGAGAAAAGATGTTAAGGCATTGAATGAGAAGTTGGATAAGCTGATCCTAGCTCAGTCCACAATGAAGAAAGTCAACTTTGTGTCTGCTGAGGAGATGGAACCAGTCCAAGAAGGGGAGGATACACAATTTGCTGAGGTATGCTACATGAGCAATGGGCAAGGAGGTTACAACAAAGGATACTATAACTACAAGTCCAACCCTGCCATGTCATACCGCAACACTGATGTTGCTAACCCTCAGGACCAAGTATATCCTCAACAACAAGCAGCTCGATCGAGTCAAGGCCACAACATGGGTATGGTCAAAAGAACAATTACCAAGGACCACAAGGCACTTTCCCTGGACAACAAATGAATATCCCACCAGGCTTCCCCCACCAACCGCCCCAGCCTGCACCTTCACAAGAGAATGAGCTCAAGGCAATGCTAAAGCAACTACTTCAAGGGCAAGCTGATGGGGTAGTGGACACAAGCAAGAAGCTAGCTGAAATAAACTCTAAGATCGAGAACCTCAACACAAGGGTTTACTCTCTGGAGAATCATGCTTCTTCTGTTGCTGCTGCTACAAAGCAAGGACAACTACCTGGTAAAGCTATTCAGAACCCCAAGGAACAGTGCAAGGTCATCTTCACTCAAGAAGGACTTGTTGAAGAAGAGGATCAAGAAAGGGTCATTGAAGATTTTTGTTTACTGCTGAATGATGAAGAGATTGTTGCTGCTGAGGCTCCTGGAGTCCAGATTGATCAACCAGAAGTGCATGCACCTACTGTGGCCATTCACACTTCACCAGTTGAGCTCGCACGACAAGCTCGATCGGCAGCTCGATCGAGTCCAACTCTAGCTCGATCGAGTCCGACCTCTTCTGTCCGACAGCCTGTTTTGCTTGATCCTTATCAACCGGTTGCCGCTTCCTCGTCTCGCCTACTTAGTCAAGGTCACAAGGAAGTGATTCACAAGTTCAGAAGAGATCTCAGTGGGATTGGAATTGAGTTGCCTCCTATGGATAGCATGAGTGAGGCATTTGATCAAATGCAAATGGTCAAGGATGTTCTAGCCAACAGTGATAAAGTTTCAGAGGTCCTACAAGAGTCTACTCATCAGTTCAACCTGCTTACTTCACCCACCTTCCTACCAAAGGTCAAGGATCAAGGGAAATTCACTCTCCCTTGCACACTTGGGCATCTTGAGATTGACAATGCCTTAGTGGATTCTGGAGCAAGCATCAATCTGATCTCTCTCTCCATGGCAGAGAAGCTAGGCATAGCTGGAGCCTTGCAGCGCCCTACTACTTCAATCATGTTTGGAGATGCAACTTCTAAGTCTCCTCTTGGAGTGTTCAAGAACTATCACTTGAAAATTGGAGAATGCATCATCCAAACTGATCTCACTGTGATGGAAATGGAAGAAGAGAAGGATTTGCCTTTGTTATTGGGAACCCCTTTCCTTAGTACAGTTGGCGCTTCAATAGACTTTCACAAGCAAGAAGTGATCCTTCACAAGGTGAATAGTTTGGTGTCATATCGCTTGCAGCCTAGAGGTTCAGACTTTTGTGCCACAATTGACAGTACCAATCTCAGTTCTAAGAGTCATGGAGCTACAAAGGTTGTGAAGGAAAGGGTTGACAAGGAACCAAGAGTTGGGAAGGATAAGGATGAGAGAGGACCAAGGATTGAGAAGCCACGTCTTGAGAGGGCTAGAGTTGAGAAACCACGATCTGATAGGCCAAGAGCTGAGCGACTTGTTCAAGCCCCTTGTGTGCTTGATGAAGAGAGCCTTCAAGCTTTGTTTGATGAGCCACTAGGAAGGGCTCTAAAGAAGGGGAGGATGCAGCCTCTAAGGCAAGACCAGGAGATAAAAGAAAGGATCCACCAGCTCAGGCCCCTTCAGTCAAGCCATCTCAGCTCACAATGACTTTGTTCCCCACCAAGTTTGAAAATGGGAAGATTGAGTACAAGATAAGGTACAAGGGGAGATCAAGGCCATTCTCTAGAGCCAAGGCCTTGGTGACTTCAGAACAGTCCAGGGACCCAACCAAGCTAAAGGAGCTTCTGTCTCAAGTCCTCACTATCACCCTTGATGGTGGGACTAGCTCAACCAATGCCTAAGAAGGTAAAGGTCAAGCTATGGGACCTTAAACAAGCTCACTTGGGAGGAAGTCCCATGTTTATCCTTGTACATACTCTATTTATGCAATTTCTATCTATCTTTATGTTTTTAACCTTTCAATAAGTTAAGTTTAGGTGTCAAGGAGCCAGCTCGACCCACGAGCTCGATCGAGCTAGAAACCAGGGCAACTCGATCGAGTTCCTCAACTCGACCAAGGTAAGTTTTTGAATTTCAAATTCATAACCGTTTTCTTGGTCAAGGGAGTGGGTCCCACAAGCTGATTTTGGTCCCCCACTACCCTAATTGATCAGAGAATCCCTAGTTTCTTGTTCCCTCTTTATTTCATCTTTTAATCTCAACCACACATCTCAAACACTCTCTTCCCCATAACTCGATCGAATCCCACTTCCTCTCTCCCACACTCTAAATTTCTGAAATCATCCATCTCTCTCTTCACCACAAAAATCGAATTTCAATCTTTCTCTCTAAGTTTTTGCGATTTCATTGTTCACTTCTTGTTTTGCTTAGTTTTGTTTACTGCTCTTCAATTCCATCATTCAAGCAAGGTATGAACCCTAAAACCCTTATCCTCCATCTCGATTCCTTTTGCTTGTTTCTCTTGATTTTTGATTGCATGTGTCCCTTGTGGACTTGTTCTTGAGTAATTGCTTTCATATTTCGCCTCTGCCATGTAACTTGTTAGTTTGCCTCACCTCACCTCTGTTTTGCCTTAAACTTGTTGCATGTGCTTGAAATTGAATTTGAGTTTGGTAATGGTTAAGTTGCTATGTTTTCACTAGAATTGCTTATTGTTCCATTTACTAGTTGTTCTTGGTTCAATTTGATTGATTAGCATCCTTTCCAGCTCTTAATACTGAATTAGGTTTGGTTATACTCTGTTTTCACCAACTCGATCGAGTTTGTCACTCGAGTTTTTTGACTCGATCGAGCTGAGTGTCGAGTTGACCAAACCGATCATTACAACTCTAATTCTTTGAATTTTGATGCATTTCAGGGACCAAGTCTAAGATGTTGAGAGGTGAAGGAAGCAAGCAGCGTTCACAAGGAGGGAGATGATAAGAGGAGCAAGGAGGATACTCAAAACACAAACCAAGGAGGACATAGAAGAGGTTGAGAGGTGAGGGAAGAAAGGAGAACCAAAAGAAGGAATGATCCTCTCAGCAGTGAGAGCGAAGCAAGGAGAGTTTGAAATTGGGTGAACATCCCACATGAGGAGAATGATGACTCCCAAGTGAAGAAGAGGAGAAGAGTCAATCAAGAGATTGAGGAGAGTGAGCATGAGGGCAATGAGAATGTGCCCATGGAAGAGGAGGAGTCAGAGGAAGAAGAGGATGAGCTCCCCATGTACCAAGAGCACTATGATGCTCTCTTCTCCATGGACTTTGTGGAGACCAAGTACCCACATGATGACACAATGAAGGCCTTGGGATCTTTGAGATGTGGAGTTGGTCCAAGAACATGCAAGTTGCACTTGGCCAAGTTCTTCTCTTACCGCATGGAATCCTACAAGGAGCTCACTTGTGAGTTCTTGGCTTCAATGAGGTACCACATGTAGAGGAAGCTCGATCGAGCTGATTTGGACCAAGGATTGGGATGGATCACGTTCTTGGCTAAGGGAGAGAAGAGAATGGTGACCTTTAGGCAGTTGGAGATCTTGTTTGGGTTCAACTATGGAGAGGGAACCAAGTGGAACTTCAAGGAGGAGAGCTCCAAAGGGTTTGGGCTACAATCGCTGATGGAGTGTACTCTTCCTCAAGGTCAAGGCAGCTCAGATCAGGAGCCCAGTCTTGAGATATGTGCACAAGGCACTTGCCAACACCTTCTTTGCAAGGAAGGCACCGGGACAATCAATGAGGGAGAACTCAAGTTTCTTGACATGGGAATCAAGCCCATCTCTCACGCACAAGGATGGCAAGAGGATCAGGGGAGATAGATCATGCAGGGAACTCATGCCTCCTTGACCAGCTCTCTCCTACAAGATCACAGCTTACAACACTAGGACACAAAGGGAAGGAAAGCTTAGTGTTGGAGGGTCATCACACCTATCTTGTGTGCAGCTGGAGTCCAACTGGACAAGAGAAGCTACTGAACCAGGTTGGATGGACATCAAGTTTTGCAAGACCAACCTCTCATTGAGCACAAGGAGTTGGATGGGAGGTTCCAATTCAAGTTCACACATCCATTGGCTGGACCCTCCAAGCTTCTCCTGCCCAACCCTGAGCTCACCACAGTGTAGGGGTGAGAACATTGACTTCAGACCCCCTGTGTACACATTAGTTGGGCATGAAGAGGATTTGCGAGAAGAGGAGCCTGAGCTCGATCGAGCTGAGGATCGAGCTGAGGATCAAGCTCAGTGAATGCGGATTTGGGTGAGCCTGAGTGCTATTACTTTGAGGAGTATGAGGCTCCAAGGATGAACCCCTCTGTTGTGGCTGCCACAAGAGGATTGGACTTCTCCAAAAGTTCAACAAATGGCAAGGGAAAGCCATTGAGAAGATGCAAAAGTCCATGGACAAGATGGTGAGCAAGATCAAAAGTTTGGAGAAGAAGGTTTCTGGTTCTTCAAGCAAGAAGAAGTCCAAGGCCCCACTTTCCCTAGGAGTAGGTCACTCCTCACCACCCAAGGAGGCTCCCTGCCCAAGAGCCTCACAGAGCCTCTTCTTTCGAGCCAAGAGAAGGAGAGGACAACACGCAGAGAAGGAGGAAGAGTTCCAAGGCCAGACGCTCCAGACCACCGGACTCGATCGAGTCCAAACAGAGGAACTCGATCGAGCTGAGGGTCGAGTTGACCTGGAGGAGCCCCAGTTTGAGAACCCTGGGATTCGAGTACGATCAACCCAGTACCAGGACTTCTCTCAGAGCTGGACTCCCTACAACCGCTTCGAGCGAGCACAGCTCCACCAAGGCCAAGGAAGCCACACACTTTGAAGATGAAGAAGAAGAGGAGGAAGAGGAGCCACAAGCTCGATCGAGTGAGCCGAACCCAGTTGCATGGAGCGCTCCTGATGGCCGTCTCCCATCTCCAGACCACGACCTAGCCTCCCAGTTCTTTGGGGGGCACTGAGGTATCCAAACACCAACCCTTGTATATACCATTTCATATTTTCTTGCATTTGTTCTTGTTTTTTCTTGGTTTTGCCCTCTTGAATCTTTCACTAAATTTTCTCACACAAGGGACTGTGTGATTTAAGTTTGGGGGAGGGTTCAAGAGATGATTTAACCTTGTTTTCTTTGTTCTTAGTTTTTCATTATCTTTTGCATAGAAAAACCAAAAAAATCATAAAATTTTCAAAAAATCCAAAAATATTTTCATCTTTTTGCATTCATATTTGTTAGACTTGTTTAGGATTGCATTTTTCACTTGCATTGTTGATTTGACTTTGAAAACTTGTCCATCTTTTGCGATTTCTTGAGTGCCCTGTTTTTAGATTCTTTTGTGCATTAGGGTGAGATTGATTGAGCAACAAGAACCATGTTTATCTTGATCATATCACTGCATGCACATCTCATTCAACCATTGCTGTGATTTGATGCATTTCCCTATCTATTTGAACCATAACTTGATCTTTAATTACCAATGCTTGCATTTGATTTCAACTCATGGCTACCACATACATATCTGGACATTCTTTACCTATTTTCATATCCCTTTGCTTGTCCAGATAGCTGATCTCTATCTTTGAGACAGTTACCACACCTTAAACCTAAGCCTTTTCATTTCAAACCCCATATTATCTCTTGTGCGAATGTGAGAACCTTTCTTGGCTTTGCTTAGCATAAGGTGTTGTGTTTAAACCGGCAGGGGCAGTAGTTCTAGTTGTCTAGTTCTCTTGGGATTGTTTTCAGGCTAAGTTTGGGGGTGCCAACTCGAGCTCGATCGAGTTGGGTGTAAAAACCAGAAAAGTGGTAAAAGTTGGGAAAAACCCAAAGGAAAAAGAGTTTAGTTAAGTCCAGGGAGTTGGCAGTGTTAAAAAGGGTCTAGTAAAGGTTTGGGAAGTTAAAAAAGGAAAGTAAAAAGGGTTCTAAGTAGAATGAAAAGAAGGCAAAGCCTCAAGTGTCAAAAAGGAAAGAAAAGTTCCCTAAGTGTTTAGAAAATCCCAAACCGCTAGATGTTACCTCAAGAAGCCTCTCCCTAGGAAGTTCTTAAAAGAAAAGTGAGCAAAGCTCCTCAGTTTCAAAGGCGAAATGCCAAAAAGGGTAGTTAGGATTTTGTTCTAAAAAGCTCTAAGTGTTGAACTCGATCGAGTTAGGATTAGGCGGCTCGAGCTGCTGTTCTTGCATCATCTTTGGTTCTAACACTTAGCCTTCTGCCAAAGCAAAGCCACTTTCTTGAGAGATCCCTGTTACTAAACCACCATACAAAAGAGACCCTCTTTGTCTCTTAACCCATAAACCCTTGAAACCAAATGAGTTGATTGATCTTGCATGTTTTTGGTTCACTGTTTTTGCTTAATGAATGTTAAAGGGATTTGCTGATTTGAATGCATTGTTTGAGTGACTGTGAAGTGGGATTGATGTTGATAAGCATGGTTAAATCTTAATGAATATCTCTCACCTTGTTGCATTCTAGAATCTCTAAGTTGGACATTTAGCAAATCGCTTTTGAGGACATGTTTTTAAGTGTTGAATCAAGCTTGTTTTCAAACCTCATCTCTTTCTTGTTCTATTTGTTTGCTTGAGGGCAAGCAAAGTTCAAGTTTGGGGGTGTTGATGTACTTGCATTTTACATAGTTTTAGCACATCTTTTATGCATCTTTTGCATAGTTTTAGCTTCCATTTGCATCATATCTTGTTCCTTTTCTCTTCTTATGCATTCATGTAGTTTTAGGTTGCATTTGCATACATATGCATGTTTGGTCCTTTGAAATAGGTCTTTTGGAGCATTCTGGAGCATATGGGACATGAGGAGCATGGAAGGCATGGACGCAGCTCATCTTGAAGACCAGCTCGACCATCCACTCGACCAACCGGTCGAGTTCCTCAACTCGACCGGCCAAGCTTCAACTCGATCGAGCTGGGAGTCAAAGTCAAACCCGAAAAATGTTGCTTCCCCCTTGACTTTCCCTTTGACCCTAAACCTAATCCTCTTTGTATTTAGCCACGAAAAAACCACCAAGCTTTAGATTACTTTTGTTTTAGCTTCTTTTAATTTATTGTCTTTTACTTTTTAGAATCTAATCCCTCTTTGTGTTCTTGATCATGCATGTTTGGTCCTTTGAAATAGGTCTTTTGGAGCATATGGGACATGAGGAGCATGGAGGGACTTGGCACATGGAAGCAGCTCAACTGGATACGCAAAGGAAGAAGGGAGAAGCCATCTTGAAGACCAGCTCGACCGTCACTCGACCAACCGGTCGAGTTCCTCAACTCGACCGGCCAAGCTTCAACTCGATCGAGCTGGAAGTCAAAGTCAAACCCGAAAAATGTTGCTTCCCCCTTGACTTTCCTTTGACCCTAAACCTAAAATCCTCTTGTATTTAAAGGCTCTAAGCCACGAAAAAACCACCAAGCTTTAGATTATTTTGTTTTAGTTTCTTTTAATTTATTGTCTTTTACTTTTTAGAGATCTAATCCCATCTTTGTGTTCTTGAAGCTCTTGCTTCTTGAATCCTAGATCCTGGATAATCTCTTTGTATTTGCACTTGCTTATTTCAATAAAAGTTGTTTAATTTCATCTCCTCTTTCTTATGATGTCTCTTTTATTGCATTTGCTTGTGTTTACATTCATGTGTAGTGAGTAGTTACCCATTAGGGTTTGAGATGGGATAGATTAGAGGTTTCATATGCTTAATCCTTCTAGCTTATGGTCTTAATCTAGATTCTCTCTCTTTTGGATAGATCTTAAGGCTACATGACCACTACCCCTGGCTTGTAAGTCCTTAGGCGACTCCCCACACGAAAGTGATGGCATTCGCTGGAAAAGATCCACTAAGAGCTCCAATATCTCTTGCTCTAGAAATAGAGGTCTAAGGGGTTGGATGGATTAGTTTGGGCAATGATCCTATAGCCTCCAAGGTTTGATTCTCACTGGCTAACCCCCTGTTTCTGAGATCATTCCTTGGTTGATAGCCTTCACCTTGGGAAAGGGTTGGCTAGGCATTGAGAAGCCCAATATCAAGAGAAGCCTTGATACAAGGAGTTTTAAGAGCTAGATTGATTAAGTGTAGATTCCTTTGATTGCAAAACCCTGTCTTGAACCCTAATTCTCTCTTTATCTTGTTAAAGTCGTCACCTTTAGCTTTGTTTGTCTCAACTCGTCCCTAAACTCGATCGAGCTGGTACTCTGCCTACTCGACTCGAGCTCTTGGTCGAGCTACTTTGTTTACTTTTATTGCACTGCTTTTTTATTTAGGTTGTTAGTGTTACTTCAAATCTATAACTGCTTGCTTGACTTCTGGTTGTTTCATATTCTCATAGAGTGACAAGTTTCCCATTTTGGATTGATAACCCTTTGTACTACATCAACTATCATGGTTAAAGGGAATTGTTGACTGTGTTTGTGTTTGCATCTTACCACCTCATCATATACCACTGATTGCATTCCACTCATCTCATTTCATATCTTTTCACATCCACACACAAAACCTTATCCTTCCCAACTCTTGGTTCTTTGTCAACTCTTTCCTTCACAATCTTTGTAGCTTCATGAGTCTTAGAACTGAGGGTGGTACTGTCAATTGTGGCACAAAAGTCTGAACCTCTAGGCTGCAAGCGATATGACACCAAACTATTCACCTTGTGAAGGATCACTTCTTGGTTGTGAAAGTCTATTGAAGCGCCAACTGTACTAAGGAAAGGGGTTCCCAATAACAGAGGTAAATCCTTCTCTTCTTCCATTTCCATCACAGTGAGATCAGTTTGGATGATGCATTCTCCAATTTTCAAGTGATAGTTCTTGAACACTCCAAGAGGAGACTTAGAAGTTGCATCTCCAAACATGATTGAAGTAGTAGGGCGCTGCAAGGTTCCAGCAATGCCTAGCTTCTCTGCCATGGAGAGAGAGATCAGATTGATGCTTGCTCCAGAATCCACTAAGGCATTGTCAATCTCAAGATGCCCAAGTGTGCAAGGGAGAGTGAATTTCCCTTGATCTTTGACCTTTGGTAGGAAGGTGGGTGAAGTAAGCAGGTTGAACTGATGAGTAGACTCTTGTAGGACCTCTGAAACTTTATCACTGTTGGCTAGAACATCCTTGACCATTTGCATTTGATCAAATGCCTCACTCATGCTATCCATAGGAGGCAACTCAATTCCAATCCCACTGAGATCTCTTCTGAACTTGTGAATCACTTCCTTGTGACCTTGACTAAGTAGGCGAGACGAGGAAG